CAGGTTGAACTACACTTTGCATCTGTTTCTCTCACTCAGATGGCTCATAGCATAAAAAAGACTTTTAAAAAAAGTGAAACTTCGCGCCTCTGATACGCTCACAGCATCAGGTGTAAGGTTGTGGTGGCAAAAATGCACTTTGTCAGTGGTTGTGAAATAGAGGGTGACTTCCTGACAAGATGTTGTAGTGTGAAAAAATAAGTATGCACAGATGTGACAGGGAAAAACACATATAGTCAACTAGTTAGTCATCGACAAGCAATGTAGAGTTCACAAATTTAATATTTTTAAATGTTAAAAGTACAATACATTTTTTAATCTTTTAATTTTTTTTATTAAATGTTCTAGCAGGGATTGGGTGAGTGCAGAGTGAGGGTAAAAAATAAAAATGTAATTTTCAGCTTTCGCTTTCATCAAGAGGCTTATCTGAAAGATAACAAAAGTGTTTTTGACATTTTTCTTGTATCAGTAGGAATAGAAAAGCTGACATTTTTTAAATTGGCGTCTTTGTTTGTATATAAACTGTTATGGGAAACATTTATTTTTCAATTTAAAGTGATTAAATGTTTTTGAGTAAATCCAATTTCAGCATTATAACTCCTCCTACACAAGAGCTCTCTAAATGACTGTCTTAGCTTTGAGCTGTAACCCTGTGCACCTCCTCTGACTTCTTCTTCTTTCTGCAGAAGAAATACCTCACTCTTCTGCCCAATTAAAAAAAAAACTTGTAGTTTTAATGGATGTAACACAATGAAATCCATCATTAGTGCTTCATCATTCTTGTAAAGCAAAATAAATTTGTGCTTTCTGATCAATCTGATGAATGTCTGGTATGACCTGAAACCTGTCTTCTAAATACACAGAGCACACAGACATTTTTGATTAAAAAAAATACAGTACAAAATCAGTAGGGATCAGTGATTAGTAGGTCAACCCATATAATCTAAAATACTTTTGATGTAATTTCCTCATTTGCATTTTTTCCTCTTCAATGAATGAAGTTCAACACAGCCAGTTTTTTTTTTTTTTTTTTTTTTGATTATCTCAGTTGGAGATAATAGGATATCATTGTAGTGGTTTACAACTTTCTCTGTTGGCTTTTTGCTTCAGGCTCTGTGCACACTCACAGTTAATGGGTCTTATGACTCTTCTTCTGCAAAAAGTGATCCCTATGAGTGCCACATACTCCAGTCAGGCACAACAACATGTCCACTGTAATTTTGTTAACACTTATAAATTCTGCTAACTTTTTCCTTTCAAATGCCTCTAGGGCTGAGTTTCTGTGTGTTCTCTTGTACTCTTGCACTTTTAAGCTAACAGACACAAGGTGGCACCCCTCTGTCCCAGCTCACTGACCTACCAGTGACAGCTCTCTTCCTCTTACTGAAGCTGTTCTTGTCTAAAATGACACCACACTATCTCCATACACTCAGGTCATATGATGATGATAATGTGGTTATTAAAAATCTGTAAATAACACAAAATAAAATAGTAAAATAATAATGACAATGTGACATACAGTTTGCACTTAATTCAGTAGTTTTAATAGAATAGAATAATCCTTTAATTGTCCCACAAGGGGAAATTTGGTTGTAACGGCAGCAAGAAAGACACATATACAAACAAACAGTACACAAGACACAAAACAGAAATACGCAATTTTTACATATTTACATCAAGGACGATGGTTACCAAAAACAGAATACTGTACAGTTATTAAAATTACATAAAATTAAATACAGATAAGAGGCAAACCCAGGTTATAGTGTGAATCGGTTGATAAAATAGTGCCAAGTTACAGCGCTGATGTGAACATCTATGTTTGTTGGGAGCAGTTCTGATTGTATAGTCTGACAGCTGCAGGGACGAAGGACATGCAGAAACGCTCTTTCATCTAGGATGCAGCAGTCTGTCACTGAAGGAGCTCTGCAGTTCAGCAACATTTCCATGCATGGGGTGGGAGACTCTGTCCATCAGAGATGTTATTTTGTCCAGAGTCCTTTTGTCTCCCACCACCTGCACTGGGTCCAGGGTGCATCCCAGAATAGAGCTGGCCTTCGTAGTGAGTTTATCCAACCTCTTCCTCTCAGCTGCCGATAAACTGCTGCTCCAACATACAACACTGTAAAAAATGATAGATGCCACCACAGAGTCATAGAAGGTCTTTAAAAGCGCTCCCTGGACTCCAAATGACCTCAGCCACCTCAGCAGGTAGAGTCTGCTCTGACCCTTCCTGTAAAGAGCATCGGTGTTGTGGCTCCAGTCTAGCTTATTGGTACCTTATAGGCCGTACCAATAAGGTACTAAAAACTTATACATAAATTGTGGTTCACTTATGCAAAAATGCAAAAATTGTAAGCCAATTTACAATACATAATCTGTATTATACTTAAAACATGCTGTAATTAAACAAATCAGTGAAAATGTGAAGATTTTAAATCGCAAATCTGAACACAACCTGCTCCAAGTGAGGTTGTGTTCAGCGTAGGGAACTGTAACCCTGAGCCAGCTCCCACTTCTAGAAGCAGAGTAAAGTCAGTCATAAAATGCATATATTAGGTATTAAATACACAGTTTTAGAAAATGAGACATAAGAGTTTAAACATTTAAACATATTCAGTGTCACAAATGAATACAAAATATTACTTAAAATATAAAAAGGAAATAAAATAAAGTAAATGTAACTGTCTAAAGCCAGAAACAAGGGTAATATACACTAGTGAGTGTCAAAACCATGGTCCATGGTCAACCAAGACCATTTTGCAAGTCTGTGTTTTCAAATTGGGTAAAACTCCAAGCTTAGCAAAGGTCATACATTCGCACAGTCAGGCTTGCTCTAATCTGCATCTGTTTCAATTTATCACACTCAGTTCATAAGAAATCACAGAGAGACTTGAAAAAAAGTGAAACTTTGCGCCTCAGATGTGTTCGGATCATTGGGCGTTAGGTTATGTTGACAAAAGTGCACTTTACCGGTGGTGGACTTGCAGACAAAGAGGGTGACTTCCTGAGAAAGATCATAATCTGAACTAGTAAGCATATACAGATATGAAAAGGTGTCAAAAGTAGCAGAGTCAACTGTTAGTCATCTAGCAGGGTTCTGACATTATTTTTAGATGCTCAAAGTATTACTGAATACTGTTTCTTAATCCTAAACTGGAACATACAATGAGTTACCTATGCCGACACATTTATTTATTTATTTATTTATTGTCATTGTCAAGAACAATGAAATTGCGTTTGGGGCTTCCATACAACCCAAAAAAAAAAGAAAATAATAAATACCCCTTAAAACCCAAGTGTACATATTTAACCCAGTGTGACTCCAATGCAATAGACAATCCTTAGCAATAACATGAGAACATGACAAGTAATGTTGGTAGAAATTCAGACAAAGACCTGAGAAACATGACAAAGTACAACAATGCAACCCATTCAATATTATTGTACTGTGAGATATGATATCAGATATGATAGTTATCTATTTAAGAAAGAGGGGGGGGGGGCAGGAGGGGGAAGAGAATAAAGATATGATGCACCAATGCAGACCAGTTCATTGCTATTAAGAAGTTGGATATGGTTATTGTCCGTGAGAGGGGGGCAGAGAGTTTAGGAGCCTCACAGCCTGTGGATACAGGCTGTTGGCCAGTCTGGATGTTATGGCCTGTATAGACCTGTACCTTCTCCCTGAGGGCAGCAGATGGAAAAGGTGGCGCGCAGGGTGATGTTGGTCCCGCAGGATACTGTGCACCCTCCTCAGACAGCGAGTGGGGAAGATATTACTGATCTCTGGCAGACTTGTTCCAATAATTCTGCCAGCTTCTTTCACCACCCGCTGGAGTGCTTGCTGATCGGCCTTGGTGCAGCTGGGGAACCACACTAGAAATCCATACGTCAGAACGCTGCTGATGGCACAGTTGTAGAAGTTCAACATCAGAGATCTGGGAATGTGTGCGCTCCGCAGTCTCCTCAGGTAGTAGAGGCGCTGTTGGGCCTTCCGTGCAACTGAGGTGATATGGTTGCCCCAGGACAGGTCCTCGGTCACAGTTACCCCCAAGAATTTAAAACTGCTTTAAAGTAAATGGCTTTAATTTAGACTTAATGTGCACATTCGATACCTGCATAGAACATTTACTTTCATTTACTTTTTTCACCCATAGACATGAAGTACCCACATATTGAATCCAGGGATATTCAACCAACTCATGCTACGTGCATCTTTGGGGTTTTTTGAAAGGGAAATTATTAGATTTTATGACTGAGTGAGAGTGTAGAGGAGGTCAGGCTTTGTATACATACAACTGAAACTATATTCACGATAACGAATAGATAGAAGGTTTCATTTGGTTATTTATGTTATGGTTGGACAGGCTTGGGTTTTGTTCCTGCTTTTTTCTCCGTCTACTTTGTCTCCTGTCATGTTCATGGTATTTGAGGATCAAATTCCATGAGCTGACTGGATGACTAGTGCCATTGTTCTCTACGTCGCCACTCTGTTGGTAACTAGGGCTTGCTTCTTGCTACTAAAACTTTGTGCTTTCTGAACAGTGTTCCTCCATTAACTCTTATGAGTCATGTAACAGATACTACCTGTAAGACAAACCTAAGCTTAACAGCTGGGGTAACCCACCACGACCAGACAAACCTACCAGCATCTCTCCACTGATTTCCTCACCACTACTAAAGAAAGACAGCCTATTAACCAGTTCTCCACAACTCCAGTTGAAGGGAACAGGAAGCCCAGAAAGTAATATAATAAACAGAATGGCTTGTTTAAGGATTATTGTTGTTTACTGAAAAATGTAATGCTTAAAGAACTTGATCAAAATTAAGTAACACCACTTAACAGTAGCAGCACTGTGTCTTATCAAACACAGTGCTGTCAACATTGTAACTCCTCCTACATAAGACTTCCTCCTAATGACTCTCCTAGCTTTGATCAGTCGCCCTATAATATCTGCATTTTTGGTTTCATCTCCTCTGATGCTTTCAGCAGAAGTAGTACTTCACTCATCTGTCATTTATTTTTCATGGGAGTAACACAATGGAGTGGACAATAAGTGTTACAACTTTATTGTCAGGTAAGACAGGTTTGTGCATTCTGATTTAGTCTTTTATTCTCTAATAATTAACATCTCCAAATAGTGAAGATACAAATGACATTTAATTAAATCTGCAAGCTGTGTTTCCACTAAATAAAATCTATAAGCAAATGGAATTCCACATCTAGCTGTTTTTTTCTTCTTCAATTCTTTAGAAAAGCAAATGTATGTATGGTTGTTTTTAAGTGAATATTGCTCCAATTCACTATGTTCAGAACTTAAATCAGAATTTCTGACTTTGTTGGTCTTTAGTTGGAATACAAAATTAAATAAACAAAACCCATTGAAGTAAAAAAAAGTGACACATAGTGTATACATTTTCTTGTATACCTTAAATATAGATAACTATAACTACATAATCGTCCATTACATGAGACTATGATGTTCTTTCTTCTTTAATTCTCAGTATTACATGCTGCACTTTGTTTCAACATTGATCCTGTGGCTTGGAAGACCCTGAGGAGTGCTGCTGCTGGTTTTGGCTACCAAGTGGTGCAAAGACAATCAGAGTAAGACAGAACAAGGATTATTATCTTTAATGTGGATTTGCAACTGCTATGTATTTTGTATTTTTAGAACAAAGATCTCTGTTATGGCCAACAGAAATAATTAAACAAGCATACAATATTTCTGAGCTTATTGCTCTCTAGACTTACATCGTTCTCATTATTCTGTTATTTATTTCCTTAGTTTGCTCATCAGTGCTCCACTTGAACAGTATTCACAAAATGGAAGAGGGAAAATATATACGTGCACCACCTCCTCCCCAAACTGCCAAAATATTGAATTTGAAGGTAGGTAACTGTTTGTCTTGACAGGATGTCCTGAAACTTTGACTTTCCACATCCAAGCCCAGAATTAAATTGGTTAAATCAAATCATAGTTTGAGTAGATTTCCAAAACAAATATTTTTGTATGTAACAGTAATGTACACCAAGCAAAGAAAAGCCAATTATTAAGATTATTCTTTTTAATTTTTCAGTTGTTATAGCTGTCATGTCAAAAAGGAAAACGTTCTTTAATTGTGGTACTTTGGAGTTGTCAAAAGTTTTTTATGAGTGTTATAACAAATGTAGAATACTTTTATTACAGCACCAGGTTTTGCAGTCAACATGTCGCTTGGTTTAACAATGAAAAGTGATCCCACGGCACAAAACACTGTGGTGAGTTGTTGAACTACAGACATTACCAGTGCTTTGTTAAAAATCACAGAGGATGAAATTCTTCTGTCCTCTGCGTCTCAGATGTTTTCTTATAGTTAGAAAATAAATCATGAGTTTGTGGCATGCCCTTATTATTTTTTTGGTGGGGAGGGGTTAAGTTACAATAACTTCAGAATATTTAATAAAGACATGCAAAATTTTACCTTTATACACTGAAAAGAATAAAAATTAATAAAACTGGGCCTAAAGGTCTTTTTTTTGTAATTCAGGTTTTTACCATTTAAGCTGTGTGAAAAGCTGAATGTAATTTTTTTTTTGATTTGGTTGATTTTATATGGAGCAAACTATTGCTTAAAAGAAATGGAAATAATCAACTCAGTGTATTAATCACAACTTGACTTTTTCTCCTCTCAGGTGTGTGGGCCAACCATTCCAAATGACTGCAATAGTATCACCATGTACAACGGTGTGTGCTTTGAGATGGATCACTCTAGTACATTTGGAACACCCAGACCTGATTTTATTCAAGGTAACAGTACATGGAGCTTGGAAAAATATACCTCAAATCATTAAAATCCTGCCTAAAAAAAAAAACCACTTGCATTTTATACTTCATCATAGTGTCAAAATCTTTTATGTTTGTGCCTTTCTATTATTTTGTACATATTCCTCTAGTTTATATAGCTCTTCTGTTGGCTATTTATTTCTGATGTCTTTACTATTTTTTTTTCACTTACAACTGCAGAGTTGGGATTATACATGTACAATGACAATAAAAAGCTATTTTTTTCTATTCTATTCTGTAAGTAAAGCTTATTTAAGTAAGTTTTACTTAGTTTTTTGAGGCAACAAATTTGCATAATGTTTTAAGTTCTGGTAACTAATTGGATTTTATAGTGTAATCTCTAAATCTCAGCACAACTGAAACTGTATTATGACTTTATATTTCGTATAACTGAAAGTATGTTGAAACCATTAAAAACATCTATTAACCCATTAAAAATTTATTTCATTTTGAATCTATATCTTGAAAGCGTGCCCGCCCCAAGCAGACATTGCCTTTCTGTTGGATGGTTCAATCAGTGTGTCTTCTAGAGATTTTCAAACAATGAAGAAGTTTGTGAAAGATCTAATCCAGTCATTGCTTTCAATTGATACACAGGTGAGGTGCTGTAATCCTTTAAATACTAGCACACACATAAAATAGTTTCATTATTATTTCCATTTAACTTCACAAAACACGGCTGTTTTGCATGTTTTAAATATTTTTTCTCCTTCCTTTTTAGTTTTCTGTTTCCCAGTTCTCTACTTCACCACAGGTTCATTTTTACTGCACAAAATTTTCATCATCTACATCACTGGATACTACCATCAAAGAAATTAGCAAACTAGGAGGAACTACTTACACAGCGAAGGCCATCAAACATGTTGTGTAAGGGATGCAAAGATATTATTATTTATTCCCTAACTCTGTAAATCTAACCACACTGAGCACTGTGGTCCATGTGTTCAAGCTTTTTGAAAGAGACAATGAAAGACTTGTGTTTGGGGGTATTCTACTAATTGTGAGATGGCCCAAAGAAAACCTCAATTCAAATACTTGCAAAGCTAATTTAGAAAAAAAAAAAAACCCAAAAAAAACCTCCAATAAATAAATTTGCTAAGTACAAAAATCCGTCTACATCGAAAGGTAATATGAAAAAGAATGATGCATGCTGAAATAATACTCAATAATTCTGAAGATGTTTTGACATTAGATTTTTGTTTTTCATTTAACAGGGAAAAGGTTTTCATACCACAAAGAGGTTCCAGACAAAATGTGAAGAAGGTCTTGATAGTAATTACCGATGGGCAATCCCATGATCGAAATCATCTGCACAGTGCAGCACAGCTAGCAGAGAGTAAAAACATTGTTCGATTTGCTATTGGGGTAAGTACTTTGATTATTTAAGCTTGCAGAATGTGTAAAGTTGTTTGACCATCGGAACCAATGCCATGAAGGTTCTAATGCACTGTTTTTGTTACCAGATGAAATTATTGCGTAAGCAGGGGGTGTCCAATGCATTATGTACCTCAGCACAGCTGTATTTAATTATAGTGAACATGTAATCATGCGTAGTATCAGAACTAGAGATGGCACGATACCACATTTTTATGTCTGATACCGATATAAATTTGGATATCTGCCGATACCGATATGAATCCGATATAGTGTGTTTTTTAATCAATAAAACTGTTTTTATTAATATCTTGCTGCTTTTTGTATAAGTTCAGACTCAAATTAAAAACTGTGGCTCAGGGGGTTGGGAATTGCATCTGTAACCGGAAGGTCGCCGGTTCGATCCCTGG